AACAATCGATACCTACTTCCAATTTCAAGATCTTGTATCTCAGAAATGGAGCAAAGTGAGGACACATATCTTAAAAAAGTCTTTTTTGACTTCAAATTCATTTTTCAATTTTTAGTTATCGCTTGCTAAGTTCCTCAATCTCATCATTTCATTCGACGCATCATTGTTACAAGGTCGTTTGCCGGCTAATTTCGAACAGTCCAGCTCTTCAATAAGGAGGCCTAGCTCTAATGATTTGACACATCATATTTCGAATTTCTCTCAACGAGCCCTTTCATTTGTTACCCATATTGTGGAAGTGCATTAAAGATAACTATTTCGCCATCTTGGATGGTCCGCTATATTTATTGGATTCGGAATGACGTCACATCATTTTTCGAGTTACTCCCAACGAATCGCTTCTTTGATACCCATATTGTGAAAGTAGATTGAAAATAACTATTTCGGCGCCATCTTATTGGATGCTCTGCCATATTGGATTTAGAATGACGTCACATTATTTTCCGAGTTGCTCTCAACGAGCAATTTCCTTTGATACCCATATTGTAGAAGTGCATTAAATATACAGTATATATGATGCAAATGTATGGAATAAATTTCATTTCAAAACAAGACGACTTCCGAAAAAATCCAAAAACTAGAGTTCAGAACTTTTTTTATTGTGTATTTTTTCAACTAGACGACCCTTCGATGTTCAATTCTCAGTAGCAGATCTCTGCAAGATTCAGTTAACCAAATGATTATCCAATTTCATTGCATTATTCTAATGCAAAATTCTGACTGTTGGATAGGCAGACGATCAGTAGACCTTTCAAACGAGGTGTCACATGACCCCTGCTTGTATTTGAAAAAATCGTCCATAACGTCATTACTTCTACACCAGTGACGTAACATCTCTCATATGAATGTCATGAGATGAGGCTTCAAAAATTAAAACTCACGTGTTTTTGGAATTTCTTCAAATGTCGCCCATTTCTGAAATAATGAATTCATTCCATACATTTGCATTATACTGTATAACTATTCCTCCATCTTGGATGGTTCGCCATATTGGATTTATAATGACGTCACATACCATATCGTTTATTTTCATCTGAACTAAGCGTGTGAATTTCAGCTGATTTGGTTGAGGATATCTACTTCAAAATTGAGATCAAAGATTCCACCCGAACTAACATGCATACATATCCATATACATTGCAAGTTAAATGAAAGCTTATAGAATAAATTAATGAAATAAATATGAGCTGTATTCATTTTTTCTACAAAAGTCGAGAATTATTGGTCTGAAATAAGTAAATTGATATTCTTAGCTTGATAAAAAAATAGTGTTGAACTGGCTTAAAGAGTTATCAAACATTTAGAAATGATTTGATTTCTTGGATCTCTGCTTGATAGAGAATCATTAAAGGTTGAAGTACAAGAATTTCATATACTTACTCAGTTCATAGGTATGCAGTGGCGGAAATATGTTAGTACAAATCACACTTACTGTATTTCGCGCACGAGTCACTTCGCGTATTTGTTACCAATGGGTTAACCGTGTTTTTTTTTACGTTTGTAGAAAAAATAAATGATGTTATTTTCAGTTGTACGAGAAATAAAGGAAAGAGAGGATTGGCTGAAAGAGATGGAAGAAATGGGTCGCGGAAATCAGTACAAGCAAATCATTGAACAACAAATCCAGGAGAAAGTGCGAGAAATGAATATGTTATCATGTGAAGCAGGAGATCACTCAATGAATAAACGATGAAATATCACGTCCAGAATTGTTTCACTCACCTCTCACCAAGTTCTTCAAATCTGGAGATTGAATTGACTTTGGAGCCTATATAGTCCGGTCTAGCATATTAGGTACGAGTATCAGGATTTTGAGAAGAAAAGCACAATGGGATTCAAGAGCTGAAAAAGTGTCATACCAGCTTTTTTTTATTCAATTCAATTCATTTATTTTTCTTTGGACATACAATATAAGTATAGGAACCGTCACAATTCCACATACACAACTACCTAAACACACCTAACAAAAAAATAAAACAGATTAAAATATACAGAGATAATGAAGGAGAGCAGATAAAAACGCCTGAGTCGAACAGGCAGATCGCTTCACGTGGTGGTGGACGGTGTATCCTCTGATACAATTGGCATCAATTCCGGTGTTCCACAATAAGGATCAATTTTGGCATCAACATTATTCTTTCTTCATATCAATGATCTGTTGAGAGTAACAACTTGCCCCATCCACAGCTTTGCAGATGATAGTACCCTCCATACTGCGTTCTCTTCCAGAATTTCCATTTCTTTCCGTATGTTCCATTTCTTCCCAGGAAACTAAGAACTCACGGCACAGGCAGGTCAATGCTGTCAATGAAGACCTTGCTGAAATCACAGCCTGGGAAACCAAACAACCTAGTTGAATTCAACGCCACCAAAACTCAAGCCTGTATTTTCTCTAGAAAGGCGGTATGCTCGATATTGTATAATGTCTGGCACCACCATCATCCCCACCAAGCCCACCATATCTATGCTCGGTATTTCCATCAGCAACACTCTTTCATGGGATAATCATGTCAGATCCATCGCAAAAGCTGCTTCACAAAAACTCGGATTCTTGTTCCGTGCGAAAAGCTACTTTACACCTCAACAGCTCCTCATGATCTACAGAGCGCAGATACGGCCTGTTCTAGAATACTGTTCTCACATATGGGGTTCAGCATCAGAACATACGGCTGATGCTCTTAGATTCCATCCAGAGAAGACTGGTGGGTGACGCCACACTCACTCACTCTTTGACATCATTGGAACACCGTAGAAAGGTCGGCGACCTTTCACTTTTCTATCGATACTTCCACGGGAAATGTTCTTCGGAAATCTCTGTTATCATCCCTTCACTAGCAATACCAGTCAGACGAGCTAGACAAGCCCAGTCAGCACATCCTTTCGTTGTCAACCTCGAAAGATGTCGAACAGCACTTTATCAAAACTCCTTCATCCATAGAACGGCTAGGCTCTGGAATTCATTGCCTGAGGAAGTATTATTACCAACAACATATAATATCCAGAAGTTAAAAAAAATCCAATACCTACCTCCTATCCATATCCTCCCTAGGAACGCACGAAGTTCCTTGAACATTATAGGGATTCCCTTTCGTGCGCTCCAAGCGATAAAAAAAACAATTCATCAAGGTTGTAGTAACATTTATCCAATAAATATATTTTCAGCGATCGAGAAAATTCATTAAAATTTGTTTTCAGAGTGTTATACTCTTCGATAATTTATAAAAAATTACGAGGCCCACCACATCTTGAACATCATAATGAATTGCGCTGCATCTCATCACGAAATATATAATTTCAAATATAGTAATATAGTTTCATCTTGTAATTTTCGAACCCTCAATTTTTTCTGATCTATCCTGAATATAGTCACTTGACGTACTGAACATATATTGCCCGAATAAACAGGCGATACAGATTTTATTCAACTATACAGGGTGATTCCCATAAGAACCGACATGGAGCAGAGGCATGTATAGGGCGTCCCAAAATATGGCAATTTAACGCAACTTACCTCTATACCAAGTTGCTTCCCTGAGGAGTTATAGGCTTTGAAAGTGAAGTTATAAATTTCGAAAAAAATCAATATCTCCGTTATTCTTGAACTTAAAGTAACCAAATATGGTACAGTTTGTGGATGTATTTAGGGCGTTACTTGACAGTAACTAGAGCTCAATTGAAATTTGTAAAGGGAGTATACTGGGTGGCGCACCATTAATATTCAACAGAATTTTGTTAACCCTTGATGGATTTCAAAAACCTTAGCTTTGTTGTGTGGGCAATTCAATTTTAAAACTTTTCTCAGTCCAGTAATTTCTTGAAAAACCTCATCGTTTTCATCAAAAACTCGAATAACTGAAAACGCGTGCTCTAGGTGTGTTATTTGAAATCATCGAAAATTCAAAAATTGGCTATGAAAATCACATCCAATATTTATATACAACATTTTATTGGATATGCACGTTTCTCATGAGTGTTTCTTGGTCAGTTTTTATAATTCAATGTCAACGAATGATTTGATTTACTTTATGTTTATAAAACCCTCATGGTTTGAAATAACTGATATATACCGTATGTTCTACTCGTGACAATAATATAAAGAAACCTAATATATGGTTACCATCGCACAGGCAATTGAAGCCTAGGGTGATAAACACATTATTTCTGTTTCCTTTTTTATTCACACTTTCCTTTCATATCTCTCAAATATGTGCTTTGTTGACTTGAATGTATATAGATTTAGAACCCATTTTTAATAGAAGGCACCTAATCTGGGTCGTTCCTTTCAAACAGTTCAGCTGGTTTTACTAAAATAGGTATCATGAATATTCGTGCTAACCTTAAACCCAGTTGACATATTGATCATTTTGAATCACCTGAAATCAAGTAATTTGAACATATCAATCAATTCTTCAGCTTATTGTGATTGTCAAGCACTGAGGGTATCATATAAGATTCTACATCATATCTGAGTCCATTGAACCATCATCGACAATTTTTGGAGAAAAATTTCATTAAAACTGGAATAAAAGTTGAGCGAGGCAAATCAAAACACATAGGTACCTATTAGGTAATAACATGAACGGCCATGAATTGTTTACCCTCCAATCAAATGACCAAGCAGGCTGTGACGTCAGCCACAGATGCCTATTGGATTGATGGTAAGCCCGAATTCATCCGGTGGTTTGGTCCGACACTGTACCACTTATAGTTCAGTGCACTGTACATATATTCCACGACAACTCATGATACGACAACTGAACTAAAACCATCTATTTTGTCAGTTTTTCAATCACACGCCACTGGTCAATCGGAAATGTTCGGGGATGTCGACAGCTAGCTTTGGCAGTATACTTCACATTAGTCAAGTGATAAGTGATGTTAGGATTGTTTTGATGTTTTGTTTTGTTTACCTGATACCTTTGAGGTTATAACATTTCAAAATGAGTGAATTTGAACTACATGATATTGTCACTGCACTTTTAAGTACATTAGGGTAATAGTTCTCGAATATATCAACTAGTTTTCTGTAGACAATTATTCATTTTTTAGGGGTAAAGTCACTCCGAACAAGTTAGTAGAATATCTACAAGAAAGACAATCTAGAAATACTGCAGGATGCTCAATCATTATTCAGAAACATTTAACTCGGCTTTCTCAAGATATTTCTGATCCAGATACATTTTTAGCCAAATACAATGATCTCAAGGATAAAAAGTGAGTGCACAAATATCTAGAATATTAATTTATGTTATTATTATATCTGCCTCTTCAATTCCTAATCCACATTCTTATTTGCCATCAAGTTGATGTTATAGAAGGTATAATGAAGTACCTAATGAATCATATCCTGGATAATATCACAGACATTACCTATAAGTACCAGCCTTCACCCATCCAATTTTGCTCAATTGATTTTCACTGAGATCTACCTACCCAGATTTACCCAAAGACACACTTCTTGAGCAAGAAAAGGGATAATTTTTGAAAAAAAAATCCCAAGGAAAGTCCCTGGCAAATCAGACCACTATACTTACCTGTCAGTTAAGTTTTTAGTGGTTTTTAGTTACAAGCAAGGTTACAAGTTACAAACAGCTATTAGGCAGCTATTTCCCTGTTGGCAATCTATTCTATTCCACATTGAATTTTGTGTAGGTAACTGAATATTAGTTGGAATCAGGACTACTTATTCCAAATGATGAAGTGATGAAATGAAATTAGTCCTTCAGCCAAAAGATGCCACCAACTTCCTTATTTTAAATAAGAACCTAAATTTTTTTGATATTTTTTACTTGCCTGGATTGGATTTCTATAGTTGTGAGTTTACACTGCATGATCTAGCTGATTTATATAGAAAAAGAATATTCTTAGATATATTATGATGATTAAAAAAATTGATACATACAAAGGAATACATTATAAGAATTCACATTCTCCATCAGATGAAAATATTGATTATATTTTAGTATATTCAACAGAAAACAAATACTTTTCTGGCTATATGCCATTACAAACATTGAATTACATCTATTGAACACACATAATATGAATGTGAAAATACTTCTGGAGTTGAATATATTATTATGCATTCTCTTCCAGATAAATATATAGGGTGTTCATTAGTTATGGATCAAAAGAAGTGGGGTGGTAGAGAGGGTAATTTCAAAGCAAACTAACCTCGAAACTAACCATATATTATGTGTTTATCCAATTGTTGAATCAAAAGTTATTAAAGTTATTTCATTCTTATAAAAAGAATTTATTACAATAAAACTGTCACATTTGTGATTTTCTCTTTCGCAAGTTTCATCCACATTCATGCACCTTCCACCAGAAATAATTTCACAACATGTTCCACTTTTTATAATTAAATGTTGTTTTCCTTGAGTTTTGTCATCAAATGAAATATTTAAGTCGATTTCTAAATGCTGCTGCCTGATTTAGAAACTACCCCAGGAAGATAACCAGTTATCAGAAAAAGTTGTCCATTCAATACAGATTTTGAAATGGTATAACATATGAGGTTATTCAAAACAGCCTTTTTGTTATTAATTTTTTTGAATGGGTTGCAGTTTTCAGAAAAATTGAATAACTTCTGAACCATCCATAATTAGATAACAACATATACCATTAGTTTGATTACAAATGATCCCCCCTACTATCCCACTTCGTTTAATTCATTACTTATGGGACACCCAGTATATATGTATACAGGGTTTCTGGTAATTCCACTCATTCCTTTGAAGATGTAATGGAGGAGGTTGGAAGGAGTGAATTCAACCCTAATATGCATTATGCAAAAGTTGATGGTTTTTGAGATATTTGAATTTTTCTGTTTGTTTTCTGAAAGGTAGACTTTGAGGCGCTTTGAGGGTTTGAAAGTTAGTTTCCCAAAAATCTAACGTTTTTCCCTGTATAATAATCAACTTATCATGTTTTGTATTAATTGAAATTCATGCTAACACTCCCAAACATTGATCTATGATTTGATTAAAATTTCACCAGAATCAGACTACAATTAAAAAAGTTACAGGGCGATCAATTTGGCAAATTTTGTTGCTGGCCGGGCTTTTTTGCCGGTGAGTCTATATCATAACAGCAATTGTTTATAGTTTATAGTAGTAAGGTAGTTGGTCATCGTTATTTTTCATGATTTAATCAACAGCGACGCCAAGTTGTCTTCTCTTTTTATTATTTTTTTCATCCCTACGTCATCCGTACGCCACAGTTTGCCTCCCCAAAAATTAGAAATTGTTTTATTTTGAAAATTAAAACGACTTGGACTTTTTCGATCGCCATTCAGTATAGCGTGGACATAAAACTGAGGTTTTCCTAACTTATTTTATGAAAATCCATCTGAAGGAAACTTCTTCATTATCCTGTTTAAGTGAACACGGCAACGTCTCAGTCGCGCTAGCAAAATTGCATGGCAGTTCACAATGACGTCAGCAAGATGGCGAAGGAGTCAGCACCAATTATTTAGATGTATGACGTATACAATCAAGTATACAATTATTGTATCATCATAAACTTCCCGGAGAGAAAAACATCGGGATACGGGAAAAAACAGAAAAATTACCAAAAATAACCCGTTTGTAGGGGTCGCCAAGACAAGAATCCTTGTCTTGACTCAAGAAACAAAATCTTGAAAGGACCCCGCTCGAAAACACGGGAAATTGGCTCTCGGTCGAATTGGCTGAAATTTGATTATGTTGTTGTGGGGTGGCTCATTAGAAAAATATGTGAGTTTAAAAAGTTTCCTATGTTTAGTTTCTGAGATATAAGCCGACAAAGTTCGTAAAAACGTCGTATCTGGGTAGGATTGACAAAGAAAAAAACTGTTTTTTTAGTATAAATGAAACAAAATAAGCTAGAAAATGTATTGATCGGAACTCATAAACATGTCTAGTTAAAATCACATGAATTATAGTAAATCAGGGTGTATATGAGGCACGGTCATAAAATTCATTTTTCGGAAAAAAAATTCGAGCACTATTCCAAAACCAACAAGTTATATTTTGGTCGGATATTATAGTTTCAGTCTATTGTAGGCTTCGAAAACGTATTTTGATTCTTGATAACTATCTCTGTTCTAAATATGAATTTTTAGAATTTTGTGTTATACCCCTTTTTGAAAACAATTGAAAGCTTGTTTTTGATCACAAAGGAAGGGGTTGATTGATACTGTTGATTGAATGAAAGCTGAGGAAACTCACTAGCGAATTCAGTTGTTCAATATTGCCTTTCATTTAGATACAGGGTGTTTTAGATTTTGTTGAAGATTATTTAACATGTTTCAATTGAATATCTCGAAAACCGTTCTGTTAATTTGGATCTCATTTTACAAACACTATTTTCAATATGTTGACTATCATATGCAAAACGTTTTTCAATTCTTTAGGTTTCGTTTCCGAGATATGCATTTTCCAGATCAATATGCAAATCAGTAGATCTCCTGAAAATTCAGTAAAACTGGCAACACTGTCGCATGCTAACTTGTCAATCTGGTGGTTCCTCGATCTTTATTTTTGTTTCCTGACAAAAACAAACGACGTCGTGCACTAGCAATGATGCCAGTTTGTGAAGTGGTGGTAAAAAGTACATTATATTAATATTATCTCTTTCATCATGTGTGATGAACGCACGTTTTATCGTTTTCATTCTTAGGCAAGAAACTTCAAGATTCCTTGTTTTCTTGACAAGAAATCTTGGTATTGACATAACATGTCTTGTCTTGTCTTGAAATCTAGAATTACCTCTTGACTTAATCTTGTCATGAGATCAAGAAAAGATCTTCAAATTTTAAAGATGTTGGTGACCCCTACCCGTTTGTACTCCATTGGTAATTAACTAACCATTTGTCTTTGTTTCATGATTGATCTTTCAGTGTTGACTCTTTGAATTCCTATGTGGAATTGCTGGATTTGATTTCTCAAGATCACAGCTTGAAGGACTTCATTCTAAGGAGTACCAAGCCGACATCTTGTTCAAAGGCAGAGCTCACGAAAGATGATTTGCCTCAGGTGATTTTTTATGTACAATATTTATTAGCCTAATTCTGGAACTTATTGGCAGAGTATGTTGATTCTTCCGATATCTCAAGGGGAAGGTTCTTCAAGTAATCCTTTGTGAAAAATAGCTTCCTTTTCGCATCTTCAGCCTCCGTGGTTGACAGTGCAACTGTAGATTGTTTTTTTGGTTGTCACCTGATTGCACCGCTGCTTATCATGAAAATGTACTTAGTAGTTAGTTGATTTCCAGTCGTTATCATTTGTTTGGAAATTGACTTATGGATCACTCTTGTGTTTTTTTCACCACTTATTGCACCATTATACAGGGTGTCTGCTAAAAGGAGGTCAATCCATTAACCATATATTCCTTGAACAATAACAATATGAGTTTCTAAATACCATTTTTCATTTTAGCCCTTTATAATCGATATACAGGGTGTCAAAGTTGAGAATTATAAACTGTTTTTTTCTAATTACTCGCGTATTTAAGAAGATATCAATCTCATGGTACATTACTTCAGCACGAAGAGTTACATCATGTGAGGAGAACAATCAGAAAATAACTGTCAAATATTCAAAATACTGGGGGTCAAGTATACACTTACCCCTATATTTTTTTTGTACGTGCGCTAATGATTTCCTATCTATTTTTCTTCAAGTGTTCAATCATTTTTGAGTATTTTTTGTTTCTTGTAAGATTTCGATAAAATTATTTGTTTTTACGATAATTCGAAGAGTACTGGTTATTGTTTGATGCCAATGCGGCTTACAATCTCATAATGTTCACATACTCCTATTTATTTCGTCGAAATTGGAAGAGGGCGCTTTTTTTTACGTACGAAAAGGTAAATATCGACATACCAGGTGCTCAGAGCGAATGTATAGAAATTTTTATTGCAAAAAAAGAATTAAAAAAAAGTGAGGACACGTGTCGAATAAAATTTTTTTGCCAATCGAACGGCGTGAATTTTTTTTCATGGGGTCAAATAAAAAAAAAACGTTTTTTGGAATTTCGGGTAAATATTGATTTTTGGAGGATGGAGGGGGGGGGGAGGTCGATTGACTAGCCCACCCTTCTAAAGGATTATTAAATTGATTTTTTTCCAGAACAGCAATATTTTTAAAAATCGGTTTGAGCGATTTTGGGTGGTGCGGAATTTTTTGAAAATATTTTCGAGTCTCTTTCCCACCGTATGTCGGGCGCAAACGAACGGGAAATAAAATCGAAAAAAAAAAAAAAAAATATTTTCGGAAATTTTTTGTGAAATTATGATATTCATGATTTTAATAGCTACTTGATGAAAGAAATAGCAGATAAGGATTGTCTATGGATGTATGAAAGATTTTGTGCATAAGCCACATATTTTTCAAAGGCTAAGATTTTCTTTAATCAAACGGGCTCGCATGTGTATTCAAAAAATTCATATCGAGCAATCCATTTAGACGTGTTGAATTTCTATCGATTTTTTTTCGTTAAAATTATTTTAATACATTCGCTCTGAGCACCCGGTATTTCTATATCTACCTTTTCCTACGTAAAAAGTTACGCTCTCTTCCAATTTCGACGAAATAAATAGGAGTATGTGAACATTATGAGATTACCGTAAGCCGCATAGGCATCAAACAATATCCAGTACTTTTCGAATTTTCTTAAAAACAAATAATTTTATAGAAATGTTAAGAGAAACAAAAAATACTTAAAAAGGATGGAACATTTAAAGAAAAATAGATAGGAAGTCATTAGCGCACGTACAAAAAAATATGGGGGTAAGTGTGTACTTGAACCCTAGTGTTTTGAATATTTGACAGTTATTTTCTGTTATGTTTACCTCACACGATGTAACTCTTTGTGCTGAAGTAATATACCAATTTTGAGATTGATATCTTATTAAATACGCGAGTAATTAGAAAAAAAACAGTTTTTAATTTCCAACTTTGGCTGAAATGAAAAATGGTATTCAGAAACTCGTATTGTTTTTGATCAAGGAATATATGGTTAATGGATTGACCCTTTCAGCGGACACCCTGTAGAAAGATTCCATCTAATGAGAAGTAACATTTCCTCAACCAAGGTGAATAATAAAATAGTGTCAATAGTGTTAATGATATGCAGCATACATACGTAGATACTGATGCCTACTCTATGACAGCAATGAACTCAATATCAGAATGCTATATTTCCTCAGTAACTGTCAATTCATGTTCAAAAACAAATGTTCACAAAAATTTTCATCTCACTCATATAAGACACGTCAAGTTACAAAGAAATATTTATCCGTACCTTTCTGTCAGAAAGACTCTACTCAGAGGTTTGCAAAGAATATAGCCCCCCGAATTTATAATATGCTGCCAACTGAGATCAGAAATGTTGATAAATATAAAATGTTCTCTAAGATGTGTAGAGTTTACATAAACAATAATTATAATTTATTCAGAACTTGTCTGGATATCAAATAGGTAGGTCGTTGTAGTAATTCGAAAAAAAAAAACTGTTCTTGTGTTTATTGAGATTACTTTATATATTAGTTTTCGACTCGAAAATAATAGTTTTTCAGAACAGGAAATATATCTTTGAAAGCTATTTAAATGAGTTAGGATATAATGCACACACAGGTGTTACACCTAGGTGCATGTTCAAATCTAGAATCTACATGTAGAAATATCTGTATCGAACATGTATGTATGATATATATAGTAATGAATTGTATTAAATGTAAAGATTAAATGTAAATGTAAAATCAATGAAAAATTATACATTCATTATTTACTAAAACCATTAATAGTTATGACGGCGAAGTTCGCTACAGCTGAAGGAAATGGGCGAGTGGGCTAATAATGTATTATTGGCATTCAATTACTCCACTGTATCGTTAGGGACCTAAATCAATTTTTGCAACACTTCTCACGCTTTTTTACGTAAATAATGAGTCTATGTGTTATCACTATATATTCGAACATTTCATGCTTTGTAAATGTTGTAAAAGTAAAAAATCATTCTATTTTGAATTATAATAAGTATATGTTATATATGTATATTTCAAAATTCTTTTGGTCAACACCACAGACAAATACACTGGTGTTTCGTGGAGTTCTATTTTAATTCTAAAATTATATGTAAATTGTCTATCATGTACTACTTATTGTTGATTGGAAATAGAAAAAATGAACAAAACTTTTTTTTATAAATACCCAGCAGCTGGGTAAATACGTACTACCCATCACTAGATAACACCTCTCCAGAAACTAGAGTTCCTAAATGTATTTGACACTGCTGTTTTGACGTTTTTTCATATTAGAGTATGGACAGTATGACAAGCACTGACAATCAGACATAACTACAAATCAATGGGCGTGTACACCTTGGTAGAACTTTTAACTCAAACCATGTTTATAATGATACTTTCATACATAAATAATGATTGACGACATAATTCGATCGAAAAATTAACTGGAATGTTTTATTTTTGGAAATAAATAATAGTACCATCTGAACACGGGGACCCTCTTATGACGTAGGAACCTCATCTCGCCATAGTTAAAAGAAAATACCAAAAGCCCGACGGAGACTGAGGCAACTGATATATTAATTCTTTCAACTGTGATCTCGCGCTAATTCACTCTGCCAGAAATCATGTATCATTCATCTCTGTCTGGAAGGAATAGTCCTGTTTCAGTATTAGGGTTTTGACGTCACATCATCACCTCGTTTTCAGAGGTCCGAAAAATCGGGGATTTCAATAATTTTTTATAAAAAGTAGGGAGCTCACAGCGATAAACGGTTTGCGGTGGTGATCTAGTTTGGGTGAGTTCTATCGAATTATGGAATAAAAATTTTTTATGATGTAAGCCCATTGATAAAAAAAGCGGGAACTGACAGTACACAGACGTACATGACATAAAATTCAAAGGTTTGACAACTTGAGAGAAGTAGGTGAAAGATGCAAGTTTGTGCAGTTTCCAACTGGGATAACATGGGAAATCAATTCACTCTATTCGAATTTCCATCGGATAACGTAATTCAACAAAAATGGAAACAGAATATGATGCGGTCGGCATGGAATATAGGCAACAAAATTTGCGAGTAATTCAAATTTGTTGGAAGAATTAAAGACATTTTCAACGCATTTTTATCAGGTACACTTCAGAACGGAATATTTGATGTTGAAGAATTGGATCGTATTGAGAGAAAGAGCCGAGCCCACAATTTATAAACTGAGCAAGTATCGAAAAGAACCTTATTCCAATTTAAAACCAACAAGAAACGAAAAACTTGCAGATAATGAAATTCATTTCGAACATATTTTGAAAAAAAAAACTAGAGAATCGAATTTTTAGAGCAGGAATATTAAAAAATCCAAGGTTTACGAATGGAAGAGTGAGGAATTCAGGAAACAAATAGAAGAAAAAAATAGAGATTTGGAAAATAAATTGAAGGAAAAAGATTTAAATACAAAAATTCAGTGAGCAAAACTATTACTTGAATATTATTTCAGATTTGGAAGAAAATCTGCAAATAAATTCAGAGAAATCGAGAAAATTGAACAAACAAATATCCAGGCAACTTTGAGCAAGATTCATAGTTTCGATGAACAATACTATGAAAAACTTTTGCATTTGAAAAACCGAATGGAAGATTAGAATAACAAATTGAATTATACTCGGAATTATATTAATGAAAATGTTGCTTTATATGAGCATGATTCATGTCAAAATTCAAAATTCAATGGTAACAGATGGGATGCAAACAAGTTCGGAAAAAGCGTTGGTGATCATTCACGTGTGGTTCATCTGTTTACAATAATTTATTGGAATTTCAGTACGAATTACCATGGCTGCGTACTCTGAATATACGAATTTCGAACATATATACATTTCCAACCCGGTATCTTGAATGAAATTTTTAATTTTCTTAACATCAAAATATAAAATTTTGATTTATGTGAACGAGACTGTTGTCTTTATTTAGATGAAATGGCAATTATGCAATTACTTATGACCAAGTGAAATTGTTC